TCCCACTTCCCCGTGTGCCTTATAGCAGTATGGGTCATGACCTCTGTGCTTTAGTCTTGAGGTAGAGTTCCCCCATCATAAGCCAATCAAGACTGATTTAATAACATAAGACATTCATGACAGTGAGATATGTCTGCTCCTAGGAGTATCAATCTACTTCAAAACAGGATTATAGGCATTGAACAACCTCCATATGAAGTTTTCTTTTAGTGTGGTAAAGTTAGCTATTGGGCAAGAAACTGCCCTTGCCTCAACTGCTGACAGCATGCTGTACCAATTGGACAAATAGGATATAAAGGTAGGCAATTGCCAAACTTTTACAAGACAAGGTTGGCCAATCCTTCAAAATTCCTGCTTCACAGAAAAGTCTGTCAGATATTCTAGGTCTGTAGGCTGAAGATTGGGTGCTTCAACATTGAAGAGGAACCATGGGTGAATACCCGGGTAACCAGTTGTCTCTGTCATTCCTATAGTTTTGGAAGTTGCTTGTTCTGCATTTCCTGTTTACTTGGGTAATATTTTATTCTTCTCAGTTCTCTGTTGGATTTGAAGACTGAATAATTATAGTTTTGCCATTTTCTTTGCTGCTAAATTAAAAAAAAAAGAATTCCACAAAGGAGATGTTAAGTTTAGAAAGGTAGAGAGTCATAAAAGTTTAAGTTATCTAAGAAAATGCCAGACCCAGCAATACCACTTTTGGGTATATACCCAAAGAATGCACAATCATACCACAAGGACATGTAGTCAACTATGCTCATAGCAGCATTGTTTGTCATAGCCAGAAACTGGATACAACCTAAATGATCCTTGACTGAGGAACAGATAAGGAAAATGTGGTACATTTACACAATGGAGTACTACACAGTGAAAAAAAATGACATCTTGAAATTTGTAGGCCTAGAAAACATTATTTTGAGTGGGGCAACCCAGACCCAGAATGGCAAATATCATATGTACTCACTTATAAGTGTCTTTTAGACATAAAGCAAAGATGAACCAGCCTACAACTCACAATCCAGAGAACATAGAAAACAAAAAGGACCTTAAGAGAGACATACATGGATCTAATTGGCAAAGGAAATAGAAAAAGACAAGATCTCCTCAAAACTGGGAGCACAGGGATCATGGGAGAGGGTAAAGGGGGAGGGGAGAGGAATGGAGGGGAATGGCGAAAAATATATACCTCAATAAAAACAATTTGTAAAAAAGATCTTATTTAGCTATCCACCAGGAGGTAGGAAATAGACAAGAGTCCCAGGTAACCTCGGGTGCATGGGGGGGTGGGAGGGTTGATGGAAGGGGAGAGTGTTAGAGAGAAGGGAGTAGGGGAGGAACGGGGAAAGCTCGGTGGCCTGGGATGGGGGGGGGGGAGGAAGGATGAATATGGGATCAGGGAAGAATATATTTCAACTAAGGGAGTCATTTTAGGGTTTACAGGAGACTTGATTATATATGGGATCCCAGGTCCAAGGAGAGATCCCCCAGATTGTTCTCTGGACAGAGGAGAGAGTGCCTGAATCGGCCGTGGCCCATAACCATACTGATGTATATTTTGCTTATCACCATAGATCCTTCATCTGGCGAAGGACGGCGATACAGTCGGAGACCCACATTGGAGCACCGGACTGAGCCCCCCGAGGTCCAAATGAGGAGCAGAAGGAGGAAGAACATGAAAAACGAAATCAGTACTGCGAGGGATGCTATCACCCACTGATACAAGGGAACGGATCTAATGAGAGTTTACCAAGGCCAGTTGGACTGGGACTGAACGAGGAGGTGATCTAACCAGATTCTCGGAATTTGACCGGATTCTCTGAATGTGGATGGCCTGAAGTCTTTCTGAAAAGCCATTGACTATGATACTGGGACCTGTTTCCTCTGCATATACTGGATTTTGGGGATCCAGTCTGTTTGGACACTCACCTTCCTGGACCTGGAGGGAGGGGGAAGGAACTGGAACTTCCCACAGGGCAGGAAAACCTGACTACCCTAAGGGACGAAGAGGGAGGAGGAGAGGGAGTGGGGGGAGTGGGAGGGTGTTGGGAAGAGGGGCGGAAATGGAAACTTTTATAATTTAATAAAATTACTTTCTTAAAAAAAAGATCTTAAAAGATATTTCAAGGTTAGTTCTAAAAGTCATGACAGAAAGTGACTTAGGTACAAAATTTTGAACTCACCAAAATAGGATCGATAGTAGAGTACTTTCTCCAAAGCTGCCAAATTCAAATGGACTGGATATTGCTAAAATTTTGCTTTCTTGATAATTTTCATATTTGTTTATAGCTTTGGCATGTTAGAGTTAAGACCTTTACATTTTATTTAGACAAAGGGGAGGATGTTGTGGGATATTTGACCACACTGTGTGAAGATAGGTCTCTGTCCCTTCTTGATTGCCTAATGCACCTTCTGATTGGTTTAATAAAAAGATGAATATCCAATAGTTGGGCAGGAAAAGGTAGGAGGGACTCTAGGGGAGAGAGGGGAAGCCAGGGGAAGAATCTGAAAGACAGAGGATTCACCAGAACAGGAGGAAGTCAGATGTATGGTATCGAGGAGAGGTAAGGGGACCATGTGGCAGAACATGAATTAATATAAACAAGTTAATTTAAGTGTTAAGAAATAGTTGGGAACAAGACTAATAAGAAGGCTCCAAGTCATTATTTGGGATCTGGTTGTCCAAAGAAGAGTCACTTGAAGTACTTCTTTTGGTGAACCCATGGCATATTTTTTGGTGTGTTTGTGCACTAGCTGTAACAAGAGAGAAATGTCACTAAAGCTCTGCTTTCCTTCCCCCTTCTTCGCAGGACGGCTTTTGCTAACAGCTCTTCTTTGGACTAGATTTTAGGTGTTTAGAAGTTCAACCAACATTAACCAATTATAAAGATTTCTTCTTAAAATTTAATGAAATTGATTTTTGGGATGTGCAATTAGAAAAAATATAAGTTAATTTATGATTTTGTCAGTAAGGCAGCGTATTGGTGTTTTTGCATTTAAACCACTGTAAAACATAAACATATTTTTATATTTTCTCAGGATTTACGTTTTATTACAACAACTTTGAAACCCTTTTGAAGAACAGCGTATTTGTGGCTAAATTTATTTTCCCAAACCCCAAGGCGACAAGCAATAAGAAGAAAACCAATCATGTAAAACTTCATTGAGCTGTACAGCATTCTTCAGCCTGCAAATGACATGAAAGCTGATTTCAACAGAGCTGTTTTCAAAGATTTTGCCTCAAGATTTAAATCCTTTAATTCTTTTCTAGGCAAGGGAATGGTAAACTGAAACAAACCAAAACCACCCACTCTACCGAAGAGTGTATGCTATTAAATAAAATAAAAAGCTATGTATACTGACTCATTCACAAGATGTTTGTTGCAGTCAAGATTTTGAAAGCTTTGAAGGAGTCTGGAGAGTTAATAAGTAGATCAGAAACAGTGTGACATGCCTGAAGAGCAGGGACGCTGGGCTGTGTTCCAGTGAATGATACCACACCATGCACACATGGGCAGCACAAACTGGACTTAGTGGGATACTATTCTTTTTAAAGACATAAAGTTAGATTGCTTCCGAACTGCACTAAACCACAGCTGAAGAATAATCACAGCACAGATGGCCAAGAAAGACATTAGCAGAGGGACAGCAGCAGACTACTGCAGTTGGAAAGGTGGATTGAATGGTAAAATTCATGTCAGATGACATAGACATCCTTGCACCCAGTGTCTTCAAAATCATAATCCACTGACCCGACCAGCCCAGAAAGAAACACTGTTAGACATTGCATATGCAGACTGCCTTCTGACTGACATCTTCATGCACGGGTGTCAATGCTGCTGTGCTAGGAGATGGTGCTGGTGCTAGTTATTTCTCTTAAGTTTTCTCTCTTGGCTGTAATTTTGCAAATATCAATGCAGCAAGGAATCTGAAGATTTTTAGTATTTCTTTATGCTAAATTCTGCTCTGGCTCAAAATGGTAGTTAGCCAAACTACAGCCAAATTGGAAAGTCTAAGCCATGTGCTAAATTTGGTTTATTTTTGATCATGTAGATAAAAGATAACATTGCCAGAAGCCGATCTGGTGTTTTTCAACCAGACGGTAACAACCTATCTTTATTACATAGAAGCATGAAATCAGAAACTTTCATGTATGTAGACCACGGTGAGGAACAGCAGTATGTTTCCTAGTTTTGCTGTCACGTTGATCAGCAGGAAGGAGAAGTATAACTGGTCAAGGTTCTGAGAAAACAGAAAGAGTGCTCAAGTCTAAATGGCACAGTTAATTCAACCCCTTCCCACCAAGGGTCAGGCATCACTGCATAAGAGGCAGCTGAAGATGTCAGAGCGGAGGGATGGGGAACAAATGCTGTCTTCTGGTTGTGAAATGACTGTTACTGTCATGAGTTCACAGCGTTTGGGATTTCCTGCACAACAACAAGCCGGACAAAAATCAGCAGAGGAGGTAGATAGTCTCCAGGACCCACACCTTTCCAGGGAGCAATTCAAAGTGGATAGCTTCTAAAGGAGGGAGAACTGTTCTTTTGTGAGGATGTGACTACTGAGAGATGTCCAATGTCCCAGTGGATGGCCCCACGTTCATGTACACATGGGGAGCACTCACTGGACTTAGTAGGTTATTCAAACAAAAAATACATGAAGTTGGGAGGGACACATGTTGAGAGATGAAGGATAGTTATGTTCATAGTTCATTGTATACATGTATAACATTCTCAAGAATAGAGAAAAATCTAAACTGCAGCCTTACCAATACCTTTGAAGTCACAGTGGTAGGTGCTTGGGGGACAGGCATTTATCAATAAATATGAACTGATTTCTTAGTGCTTTAGCAGAGGCTGACTTTGACTCTAAAATGCAGAAATGTACTGATTATATTGCTATATTGTTATTTGTTCCTTTCTGTATATATGCACAGAGAAATGATAAAATTCTTTGTCTAAATGTACCTACAAGAGATCTATAATAAATACAAAAATTTCAAGTAATGAAAGAATTGATGATCTTCTTTATTTATGATTTTTTCTTAGAACATAAAATTATGAATTATCCTTGACAGAACTTCTAGTAAAATTAGTATGACCATTTAATAGCATTCAACAACCATTGAAATCTCTGTAAGCAAATCAATAATTATCAAACAATATCACACATATTTTGTCCCTGGAAACCTCAAAAAAGAAATATAAATTCATTTAAATATAAGAGGGTTTTAACAGATCTTGTTTATCATCTATTTATGAAAATTTATATAAAAATAAAATTGTCACAGCAGTTATTAGTTTTCTTAAGGTAATTTAAACACAAGTATGACAAGTCTGACTCCTATTCAACCTCAACCTAAAGACATTTCACAAATGTGTTTATTATAAAGAAGGTGCACATAACCTGGAATTCCATTAATGACCCAGGTATTAATCTCAGATTCTCTATCCTAATTTCCTCCTCTTTGATCCAACTGTTTCTTCTCAGCACCACTACCAGTATGAACAGAAAAATATATAAAGCACAATATTCACTGTCAGGTCAAGAGACCTTTGGAAGGGTTAGGAATGGATTAAGTAATGCCCATGGTGAAGTGAGCAAGGCTCTCAACTATTCTCACCACCTTCTGAGCAAACAACTGAGTTCTGTCTGCATATATTTTTCAATGCAATGGAACAGCAGACCAGACAGCGTTTATAAAGTATGGCAACACATGTTCAAATTAAGAATAATTTGCACACACTTTTATCACATTTGGAAAGTTCTGTGAGACACAAACATTTTTTATAGCCTTTTCAGAGAATAAAGGTTTGACTCCCAGAACTCACACGGAAATGAGAAGCATCTGTAGCTCCAGTCCCAAGAGTTGTAATTCCTTCTTCTGGCCCAGTGGTTCCCAATATTCCTAATGCAGTGATCCTTTAATACAGTTACTCATGTTGTGGTGACCCCCCAACATAAAATTATTTTCATTGCTACTTTGTAGCAATTGTAATTTTGATAGTGTTATGAATTGTAATATAAATATCTGTGTTTTCTGACGGTGTTAGGTGACTCTGTGAAAAGATTATTTCATCCTCAAAGATGACCCACAGTTTGAGAACAGCCCTTTTAGTCTCTATGGGAACTGTATGTGGTGCACATGCATACATGCAGGTAACACACTAGTGCACATAACAGAAAACAAAACAAAAACTCAAAAGGAGAAATAACAAAAAAGGACAATGCTCTTTAAAACTTTAACAGGGGTTTTTGTTAGGTACAGTCTCATTGTGACAAATAACAGTCATCAATGTCACCTAGAGCTTCATTAGCCTGCATTTCCAAAGATAGGAAATCATCCTCTAAAACAGGAGTCTTTATTATGTGAGTGAAACAGTATCCCACAAACCGATCTTTACCAAAAACAAAGCTATGATAGTGTAAAATGTAAAATTTATTTAAATATATAAAACAGCATCACTTTCCTGAATTCTGGAATGTTTTCCCATCAGAAGTGGCTATCTGTACCTTTGTCATTATTATGCTTCAGCAGTTATAGTAATGTAATTTTAATCATGTTGCTTTACTGAAACAAGTCAAAAAGAGGTAAAGAAAAAGAAAGGATGAAAGGAAGGAAGAGAGAGAGAGAGAGAGAGAGAGAGAGAGAGAGGTCAGAGGTCTATAGAAAATGCCTGCATATGCAATCCTGTTGACAGGAAAAATACATCGTATTTAAGATTTCCTCGAATCAGACTGTCTTTTACTTGCACTAATTTCTAGAAAGATCTGCTCCCTGTGAGCCAGCATGTCCCGTACATCTTTGCAGAGCAGCATTTCCTGGATGGACAGCAGCTTGAAGCTGCGCAGGTTGAATGGTGAGCGGCTCTGTACAGCACCCAACATCCCAAGGGATGCGGCAACCGATTCCCTCAGAGAGGAGCAGACAGGGAAGATGCGAGCAGTCCACAGGCTCAGGCGTGTCTGACTTCCGGAGAAGAGTTCCTCTGTAGCTTCAAGGTTCCAAATATCTAAGCAGAACATAAAGCAGACTCCGAAGAACTGCAGAGTCTTTATATCTGACAGGGTTTGAACACTTTTTTTCAAGTTGTCTTGCATACCAAACACCATGGTTGAATACTCTACATGTCCATTCATCTCCACACTTAAAGAACAAAGGAAAGAATATGGCGGCAGGACAGTGTTTGCTATGATGGAGCCGCTAATAATGCAGTTTTCCCCGATGGACACCTCAGGTCCCAATCTGGAATACTCTACAACTGACCCAGGGGCCACATGGCATCCTGAGTCCAGTACACTGTGAATGACACAGGGTGTCTCACGGGAGCTTTCAGGGACATCTGAAAAGACACTGAAAGCTACGGGCTGCAAGCCCAGCTCTGACCTTAATGTACTATCAGAAGTGAAATGAAGCAGATATTCTTCCGTTGTTCCAATGTGATAAAATTTGGAGTTATTAAGAACAATGACATTCAGTGGTGTTCCCTTGAGGAGGTGGAATATTTTCTGCCTCATGTCCAACAGCTGGGACTCCTCTTTGGTGACGTGTGCCGTGTTCCTGGTGTACTCTGCGGTTGCTCCAGGTCCCAGGGCCTGCAGAAAGTCACCATAGGCATCTATTTCACAGTTCAGTGGGCCTACACTTCCATAAAAATCAAGTAGCTTTTGGGCTGATTGATGATCCATGTAAAATAGGCTATCTGTGTAGACATACTCAGAGAGCAATGGAAGAGAGGCAGTGTCACCCCCAGCCAAGTCCTGTTGACCAACGTCTCCTTGTCTATGCACAGCATTAAAGTGATACATGTCTTCAACGCTAGGCTTATGGAGGAAACGGTGACACTGTCTGTACTCAAGATCACCATGTTGTGAGGAACTGGCAGAGTCCAAGACAAATACTCCATGTGTGGTGCCAATAGCCAGACTAGACGGATGGGCTAAGGCAGTAAAACCAGGCCTGTCAAATGCAATGAACTCTGAGTCCCCAATACTGTACAGTTCAATATCATCTGCACAGGTGACCAAAACTCCAGGCTTCATGTGTGCAGGGAAATCCATGTACATGGCTAGTTTCAACTCTAACATCTGATAAATGGGCTCACCAAGTGGCAAAGCTGTGAAGATTTTTCCTAAAGCACTTGCATTGGGAAGACGTTGACTGTAACCACCTATAAAAAATTGTAAAGGATATAAAAAATATGTTAAGAGATTTTCAAAATCTGCTGGTACCAGTTATAGCATAACATACATCTGAAGATATCTAATACTAAGTATCTAATCAAAATTAAAGGTAGAATGGGAAATCCAGACTTTAAAGCCATCAAAGAGTGTTTTCCATATGGCAAGTTGATGCAGTGCAATTCTAGAGACTCTAGGTCAGGACACACAGAACCTGGCTAGCAAGCATTCTCAATCAACTGCATAACTAACAAAAGAACGGTTTTTAAAACTTGGTCTTCTGTGTCCATTTCTAACAACACGTTCCAACCATGGTTTATGCCATGATTAGGGATGTACTAGAAAAAGCTGTAAAAGACTAGTGCAGTTTAACAGTTTCAGAACCTACTTCTCTTGTTAAACATCCACTTCATGAGGGATTGCCTTCAACTCATGAGACATAGAAAGTAAATGGAAATTGACTTAAGAACAATTTATTTAATTACACCACTTTTTCATTTAAATTGGCTTTTCCTTTCTAAGATGAACATCACTGTGTCTTGATTTCTGAAATGTGTCCTCTTAAACACACTGACGTCTTGAATCTTCTTATGCAAAGGACAGGTGTAGAGTGAAGTGCAGACTTGTGCATTGGGGAGGGTCAATAAGGAGTACACCAATGGCTCAGCATTGGAAAGGGTTGATAAGAAGCGCACCAATAGCTCAGCATTGGGAAGGGTTGATGAGGAGTGTACCAATGGCTCAGCATGCTTTGGCTGGGACCTGAGAACATACTGCAGTCAGCTGCAGTACCATGAAACAATGCAACATTTAAAGAACTTTGTACACAGAACATTGTTCAAGAAATAAGAGCTAAAAATAATCTTAACTGCTTTCCTTTTCAAAGATCAGATGATAGTAAAGTTTACACTAAATGACAATCAAGGAGACTAGTTCACAACCCAGGCAAACCTTGAGAAATGAGGACACAGGATCCCCTAACCTGAAATGACACTTATTTTCATGTATTCCACACTGTCTTACTGGGTAATTTATTTATCCGATACAATGCAATGTTTACATACACAGTAGTTATGCACTGATATTCTAGGAATTATCAAAAGTCCACGCTCAGTGCAGACACACTTCTATTACCCCTCAGATGCTTTCTGTCCGTCACTGTCTGAGTCTAAAGAGATGGATGGAATGCCAGGATTCGAGGGCACACCACATTCTGCCTATCTACTTTCTGATGTCCAGTTAGTTTTACCTTGATTCTACAAGACAGTGAATTGTTCTGCATTCTTAATTTTTCTTGAAAGCAGGACTTAGATGAACTAGGCTGTGGTCATCTGACAGCATATGACAGATGGTCACATGACTTTGCACGCAACTTGGAATTAGAAAGTATCTTTGATGGTACGAAGATAGATGTTCTAAATTATATGTCCCAGGTCAGTGTCAGCCCTTGACAAAGGTTTCACCAGCCCACCAGAATACAGAGATAAACAACAGAAGTTTCCAAGCACCAAATGTTTTATATATGTATTGAATTAAAAAACCTACCAACTATTCTGATAACATCCTTCTGTTTTCTCTCTTTTGAAATGCTTTATGTACTTTTCATGTATATATATTTATATATTCTGTATTTTTGTCATTTTTCTTCTGTATTTAGAACTGCTAAATATTGAAGCAGGGTAGAAGTTTTGAGAAATGTTTAATCATCATTTTATCATCATTCATTCTCTTTAATAACAAAACCCCCCTCCAGACTCCTGAGAAATGTCCATATTGTCAGGAGTTTTGTGAAACAATTCTCTATTTGCAAACCAAAAATGAAATGATAAAATATCCATAAAAGATTATGTACATAATCTACAATGGTAAGAAAATGTTTTGTGAAGATCAATATACTTACATACTGAAAACAGCAAACAAGAAACCCAAAAGCCATGGACATTTATTTCCAAAGCGAACTAACACCACTGAATTTCCAAACAAAATAAAATACAGGGGAAATAATTTACAAGGGAGATAAAGGCCCCAAGGCATCAGAGGCAGGAAACTCAAGGGCAAATGTAAATGAATAAGCAGTCAGTTACCAGAGTGAATCAGCAGGACTGTGAAAGACTTCCACTTATCTCCATAGAGGCTTCCCAGACACTGAAGAGCACAGAATGTTGATCCTCCATTTCCTTAAAAACAATTCAAAAGAATAATTTGCCTCACAGAAAACTACTAAAATTTTTCTATGATGTTATATTTAATGATATAATTTTGAAGATGTGAATTTTGTCAATATGAGGTAGACAGAATAAGAAGGTACTGCCAGTGGAACAGATAAATCACAGTAAATAAGCAAACACACAGCTAATCAAGGAACAAAGCAGCTAATAATCTCAACACTAGTAATGAAAGAATTGATAAATTACATAATCTATGACCCTAGACCATGAAATCATATGCAGCTGCCAACCAGGAAACTTGCTTAATGACGTCTTCCAAATGACACAACTCAACACGCAAGTTGGAGTTTCAAATTTTAACATTTTTCAAAATGTTAAAGAACTTATTTGTACAAAATATTTTAAATGTTGTCAATGCACTGTATCCCCAACTCTTCTCTACAGAAGGGACATCAGACAAGTGCTGACCAACAGTGATGATCAGAATAATTCCAAGGTCATAGACATGCATTCTCTTCCTGGCACCAAGAGGCTTTCGCTTTTTTTTAATCATATGAATCACAATTTTAGGGATAAATTTTATAAAAATTAAACTACTTTCAAGGGAAACAGAAAAAAATAAATAAATTTCAAAGCAAAATACTTTAAGCAATAACTACAAGAAAGTAGAAGAAATGATTTGCAATTCCCTCTGTACGGAATCAAAGGTAAACTATAATCTATTTATTTGCAGTGATGACATAGTTTGAATTAAATGGGGTTTAAATACATATTTTATATTACTTTAAGTGACTGGACGTGGTCTGTTTGTATTCCATAATTTGGTCCAAAGAAACCAAATATATACATAAGTTTCCCCATTTGTTTTCTTCATGTGAATGTCTGAAAGACTACTGGATTGGAAAAGTACTTGACAGAACTTCCATTGAGGTCTATTGTAATTTATTAAAGCAAAAAAAGAAAAATCTTTTAACTAATTTTCTATACGAGTTCTCTTCAAGTATCAGTGACTAAGAATCTTTGCTCTGATATTCACCTTGTTAAGAGGAGATAATTTAGATTCAGATTTTAAAGTCTGTAAAGGTCATGTATGGAGATAAACAGTTTATAAACTACAAAGCTCAGATAATTATGCAATTACTATATTGCTTAGAATCTGTTATAACAATGACCATAAAGTGTATACCAATTTTGGTTCCTGCAGGATCAGTGAAAACATGGTACTGAACTCCAAGGGGCAATTCCTTTCTCTTCAGCTTCTCTGACAGCTGTTGCTTGTAAGCAAGTTCCTGCTTTTCATCAGCTGCTGTTAGTGCAACTACATCCCAGAATTTTCCAGCTGCCACCGGTTTGCCTATTGGAAAAATAGCAAGATTTATATATTATCAGAATTCTCTATTGTAAGCTTGCGTATTTCAAAAGAGGAGAGGACAAAAGAATAACCATTAACAGCTTCCAAGATGATACAAAAACCAACCAAACAACAATAAAAAACAGAATAATCTTTAGCTTCAGTATCTAGGAAGTTTCATGAATCAGAGCCCTTAATGTTCCCTGGCTGAGAAATATCAACTGTACACTCCTTTTTTTCTGATTAGAAATGTGGGGTTTTTTGTTTTTGTTGGTGTTTATTAACTTTTTCTTTCTTCTTTTTACTCTATGCATATCAGGGAAGCACCCAATCACTGAACTACATTCCTAGTTGCCTCTTTATTAATTTTTGAGTGTGTCTTACTAATTGACAGACTGGCCCTGAATGCTTCCTGTAACCCAGTCAGGCCTTGAACTCTGACCCTGCTGCCTCAGCCTCCCAAGTAGATAGTAGTCTTGCAGCCCCAGGCTCAGCTCTTATTATTTTTATTAATTTATGATGAACAACTACACTTACACAGGCCATCAGAAAACCACGCAGAACTTAGAATCAAATTTTCCAATGGACTCATTCATTGACAAACTGCACTGGCAAACAATGGGACCCTCTCCTTTACCAACAAAAATATTAATAGGGTTTTAACGAAGGGGCTCTAGCTGGCCTGAGCAGGACATCATGGCACTGGCTTTGCCCTCTTCCTTCCTTCTCTCTTCCTTGCTAAAAACCATTAGATTACTTTCCTAAAGTTAGTCACCAGGGTCTGCCTATTCCCTCATTGGGCCACTCCCTCCCCCTGACGCTGATGACCAAGTTACAGCTGTCAAAGTATTGAAGTCCAGCAATCAAAAGCTCCCCTTTGGCTTCCCTAATTAACACCAAAATCAAAATTAAACACCTCGTTCTAACACTGTAGAAACTGCCATTGGTCTATGGGCCATGTCTGTCTCCTCTCTCTTCCAAGAGGTCCCTTGTCCTCTACCTTCAATCTTTTGTCTCTTATTCCCTGCTCTTTGTCCCTCTGGGATAAATAAATATAGGTGCTGCGAACATGGTTTTAGGTTGTCTTGTGGAAGATACCTGACCTTCCATTTAACAAGTTAAAAGAGAAAAGGGGGCAGAGAGAAGGAAAAGGACAGAGGAATGGAGGAAAAGAGGGAGGGATTCGTTAGCTAGGATTCAATAATTCCAAACATCATGATATCCAAATATAAATCCCTATATTTTAGATAGTTACAAATACCAGCTTTATCAGACAGCTGTTCAGAGAAGCACAAGCACCCATCTGTTTTTTCTCTAAAGGGAAAACTTAAATTTGTAATTTTTAAAGTCATAATTGCCTTCAGATTGGAGTTTAAATAGGAATAGGCTGGTGAGCTATGCAGGGGACTGGGAGAAAAGGGAAGAATCTGGGCAAAAACACCACTTCAGACTCTGTAAGCAAACTGACTTCTAACCAATGAGCTAAGCGATGTTTTCACATGTTACATGTGTGTTACATGCACAGCCTCACAAGCCACGTTAATCATTCTCTTGCTGCTTCATCCTGACATCCAGGATGAGGTATGCACAGATCTGCAAAGGGAGAAGCGGAAGGCAGGCAGGACGGGGCGGACAGGAAGGAGTAGAGGACAGGAAGCGGCGAGGGGGTCCGTGGGAAGAAGGCGCCCCTCGGAGCACGGGGCCAGAGAACTCCGTTCCGCCAGGGTACCTCTCATTTCTGAAAAGAGCCGCAGTTTCCGCAGGGTGGCTTCGCGGAGAGACGCCATGGCCCGACTTCCGTGAGCCCTCACAGTGCACGCGCGCGCTCCGAAGGCCCCGCCCCGCCCAGGCCGTGCACGCGCTCCAAAGACCAAGCCCCGCCCAGGCCGTGCGCGCGCGCGCTCTCTGAAGACCACGTCTCTCCTTGGCCGCGCGTCTACGTCACCGCGCCCCTGGAACCCCTGGCAGACAGGAAAGAGCTAGGATGGCCTGAGCGTGCGCGATCCACGTTGCCCGGGCAACGCTCCGTGATGCCGATGGGCACCTAGCTGTTCCGGGCTGCCCGGGGCCTGCGCCGTCGGTTCCCGCCTCGCTAAGTCTGACAGCCCGCGGCCCGCCACGGCGGACCGGGCCGCCGAGGACAGTGGAACCATCCCCCAGATGCCGAGGTGACCTGCTCGCACAGAGCTGCCATTCCTGGAGGAACCTCGGGCTCGCCCGCGCCCCGCGTCCTCCCACCTCTCTATCAGGCAGTCTGCTTGAACTCGTGCCTTCTGTCAGCATCAGGGCACTCAGTTATCTCCACTCGCTTCTCAGAGTCTATGGAAGGCATAGATGAGGACACTCAATGGGGCCCAATATTGGGGAGTCAGCCTTGTTGAACTCGCTTTCCTTGGACGATAACATGTATTTCTCTTTTCGAATGCCTAGTTTATAACGAGTTCTACAGGCTAATCTCCCCATTCTGACACATAGCATGTAGTAACAACATTTAAGGACAGCTTTTCAGTATCAGACCCAGAAATTCTATCATACTCTGCTATTTGGCTTGAGAAGTTTCCCTTCATTAATGTCTTGCTCAGAATTCTGCAGAACAATTTCCTATGAACTTAACTAATTTTCTAAGTAAGCTTAGTTTTTTTTTAATTTTATTTAATGCCGCGATCTTAGCCTTTAATTCTGTATTTGAAGGAGAGACATTTGTGGAGAAAGATTACTGTTTCATAGTGCATTTTTTTGAAGGAAATTTAAAAAATATAGAAAGCTAAAGGGTCTGAGAGTAACAGCAATATAAAGTCAGATTTGTGGTTCTGACTCTTGAGTGAATCGGAGTAAAGGGGTCACACTGAAAGGTATCTGTGTGTGGAGCGAGAATACAAGCAGACAGTCTTATTTGGAGGCTACCGAAGTGCCAACAGGAAAGATTTGGTGGAAATTTAAAAGATAATAATGGGAAATAGTGAGAAATTGTTTAGATTCCAAAAACATCCCAAAGACAAAACCAACATCTGTCCCCTGATGGCGGATAAAAGAGATGAGGAAAGCCATATATGGGGAAGCATAGTGAAGTGGTAAGAGGGTTCCTTTAATTTAATATTCGATATGTAGACTAAACATGTATGTGTTTACAGTAGAAATTGCTTGTGTGTCTGTGTATGTATGTATGTAGTTCTGGAGATCAAGACAGGTTTGGCTAAAAAAATTTGTGAGTTCTCAGAATACTGATGGGGTATTTTTTCTTTTCTTTCTTTCTTTTTTTTATTTTCCAGATGTGGAACTGTATTGAGAGCCAAACAGACTATTAAAGGTCAAAAGGCCCTACATATTAAAGTACCACACATTATAAGTTGAAAACAAAAAGTCTTAATAGTTCGTGTAGCCATTGCTCAGGAGACACCACGACCATGGCAACGCTTATAAAGGAAACATTTAATTGGGACTGACTTACAGTTCAGAGGTTTATCCATTATCATGGCAGGACGCATGGTGGCACACAGGGAGACATGGTTCTGGAGAAGGAGCATAGTTCAAAATTTTGATCCACAGGCAGCAGGAAGAGACTGTGTCAATGGGCGTGGCTAGAGCATCTGAAACCTTAATCCCACCCCCAGTCACACTCTTACTCCAAGAAGGCCACACCTCCTAACAGTGCCACTGCTTATGAGCATATGTGCGCATTTTCTTTCAAACCACTACAGTAACCAAATTAAAAATATCGTATGGGGCATCATGCCCGCCTCCCCTCTCCATGCTGGACGCCGCTGTGTCCTGAGCTCCAGCAGAGCTTATACAACTGGCACAGCCGCTGTGAGTTCGTGAGTGCAGCTGCCCTGTTGCATCTGGCTCTCACCTCTTTCTGCTTCCCTTCCACGGTGATCCCCGAGCCTTGGGAGGAAATGGAGTAATATAGATTATCAATTTAAGAAGCTGATCACTGCCCAGTGTTGTTCTCTACACACTGCCTAGTCGTGGGTCTGTCTTCTACAGGAGGAAACTTTTCTGAGGAAAGTGGAAAGATGCTCTGCTCTATGAGCCTAGCGGTGGATCATTCAGAGTTAGTTTGGAAGACTGACAATAGCAGCTTTTCCAGTAGAGCCCTGTGACCTGTCTGACCACAGGTTCTTGGTGTCAAGTATGAGCTCCATCTAGGAAGAGTGGCTTAAATCCTGAAACTCAAATCAGAAAGTTGTTGATTACCCCTGTGAAATTCTTTTCTCTGTTGCCCCAGTAGGTGTTTTTTCTAGCTCGGTTGTTAAAACTTGTATAAGCCCCACACCTAGCAGAGGAGCTATGGATAATTCATAGCCGAGGGAAAAGGGTGAGCCACTTTTCTTTAAGGCTGTGACCTTTGATATGTCAACCATGTTCAGTGGATGACCCACACACACACAAATGAACTTTAAGAAAAAAAGAGAGATAAATCTGTTTTAATAACTATATGACATTGTCTGAAATGCATTTTAAAATAAAAGATGGAATATTCAGTATGGTAAATAATTTTAAATAAAATCTTTATATACAGTGATAGGAATATATAAAATTACACACATCTATATATGCATTATTTATTTACTGATGCAGTGAAGCATAAAGTCACTTTGGATAGAGAGATAGAACCTTGATGCTGTTTGTATAAAGCATCTTTAGAAGATATGATTTTATGGGTTGAAAGAAAGAAAATTAAGAAAGTGGCCAGTCTAGTGACTGTCTGAGGAAAACATTGTAAAACACATGGTGATGAAAGATTGACATCAAAACAATACAAGGTACTCACTCAACAGGAAGATAGCAGTCAACAAAAACTGAACAGAGGAGCTGAGAATGCCTCATCAAAGGACACACTCAGAAGACAGACAAGCAGAGAAAGATGCTCAGCATCATCTATCTGTAGGAATCACAAACTCTCAGAGTGAGGTACCTCTTTGTAGCCGTCAGACTGGCTTTGATACCAATACACCAGATACTAGTAAGAATGTGAAGGAATAATTTCTTATCTTGTTGCTGATGGAAACCCAAAGTAGTACAGCTGATTCCAAGGACAAAGTCAGTTCATCAATAAAACTTAATATATGATCCAGAAAGTAAACTTCTTGATATTTATCCAAATGAATTGAAATGTAATGTGTACATGAAAACCTGCGAATACTTGTAGAAATTCCATTTGTAATCTCTCAAGCTTTAAGTCAGCTAAAATGTCTTTAATAGGTGATTGGACTGATAAAATAGGCCATATCCATGAAATGTAATGTTTCTGTATACTTTAAAGGTGAGTTATATTCGATGCTGGCCATCAAAAGAGGTCCCTGGGAATACTAGGCGGGTGTTTGCCTATTGAGCCACGTTCACAGCCGAAAATGAGTTTCACTGAAAAACCTACGACTATTACTCTGCTAAACGGAAAATATTAGTGACTCATAACAACATCATTACACCATAGGTTAGGGCATCTCTCATCCCTCATCAGGGAAACTTCTTTGTGCAGTAGATAGCAATTAACAGAAACCCACATCTGGTTAAGGTGCAGAGAAAAAGATACAGAACAGTACTCAGCTTTAAATGACTCCCTCCAAAGGCTCAGGGGTCATGGTGAAGATGGGGTGCCAGTAGAGTGACAGTCGTGGCTGTGGGCCACTGCAGTGAGACAGCCTTTTATGAACACACAAACACTCAGCAGTTGTGAAAGAGTGCCTAAGATCTGTCAAGGTCACCCAGATACAGTCCCAGCACTGGAAAGAGAGATGGGGAGGTTCCCTGCTCTAGCCAAAGAGCTATTTATTGGTAATTGGTATTTCTGGGAGACACTTCTCTCTAAGCATGCAGTCTCTTGTGGTTTGACCACATGCTAGTGGAAGCCTACACACATTCAAGTATATGTGGGCAGCACAACCGCCCGTGGTGGGCGAAAATAAAATAGGTACAAAGTTGGGTTGGTAGGAAAGGGAACGTGGATCAGGGAGGAATTGGGGTAGGGGTTGAATGGGATCAAAATAGCAAAAATATCGAGAGTGCTTAAAATGCACTCTATTAAGTCAAAGGAGAAAATCTAAATGGGTGTATTTAATATACCCATAACTTCTTATAATCACAAATTTATGTCATATATACGGTCATATATATATACATCTATATGTATAATTATGACATATATAAAGGTATGGAAACAGTTTAAAACTCTAAGTTGTTGGGAGCTTGACAGCAAGTGGATGAAAGGTCAAGGACACTGTAGATATTGGTACGGTAATAACCATATGATACACTAATAACTACATGCTATCGCATAGTTATTGACAAGTGTGGACTCTTTCATAAGATAAGTAAGTACTTTAGTGGTAACCTGCAGATCCTGATTCTTCACTAAACAAATGCAGCCTATTTCATGATGCCAAGAATGGAGCACTTGATGTGACGAGTCATGATGGGGAGGCTATACTTCCTAATGTTTCTGTTGACCTAAAGCAGAAGAAAATAGCTGTTGCCTGAGGGGTGTAACACAAGCATTCTATTAGGGCAGAGTATTCTAAAGTCTCTTACACCTGCAGTTATCTAACCATGTTATTAGGTACTGCCTAATGCAAGAGGAAGCTTCTCTGATAATGGTTGAGTGAGACACTGATCAGTGGGGATAACAATATGCCATTAAGAGTCATTTTCTTTTTTCTATTTTCTTCTTTTTAAAATTATCTTTTGATAGACAGGGTTTCTCTGTAGCTTTGAAGCCTTTCCTGGAACTAGCTCTTGTAGACCAGGCTGTCCTCAAACTCAAAGAGATCCATCTGCCTCTGCCTCCCAAGTACTGGGGTTAAAGGTGTGCACCACCACCACCCGGCTCATGAGTCCTTTTCCTGCTGTGTTTATTTATCAGAATAGTAGTAGTAGGTTTTCCTCTAGAGTCCAGGGCCTATATAGTCTCTTGTTCTTATATCTACTAACAGTGTCAGGCATGGGTTCTACCTCATAGAGGGGGCCTTAAGTAAAAATTTTAAAGTAGTTGGTTACTACCATATGATTAGCGACACTGTTGAGCCAGTGGGTATATCTTGTAGGAGGGCCACAGTTGCAGCCCACAAGGTTCAGAGCTGGGTGTGACTGCTAACTGATGGAGGAGGGTTATCTGTCTATTGAGTTCAAGATGTGGTAGCACATGCCTTTAATCCCAGCAATGGGGAGCAGAGACAGACAGATCTCTATGAGTTCAAGGACAGACTGGTCTACAGAGTTATTCCAGAACAAAGATATACAGAAAACCTATGTCAAAAAGTAAAAGTAAAAATAAAAAAAATAGAGGTTAAAAATAAAGCTACATAAAGATAAAAAATACACAAAAAATCTTGATACTGTATGCTATTATGCTCTCTTTAAATTGTTTAAATACTGAAAAAGGAACAACAGCTGATAAAAGACTTTTGTTTATAAATGCTGCTAAACTAATCCAAGAAACTGCACTTGCCTGGACTGTTGTATAAACTGGACACAGAACCTACAGAGAGAGGACTGCTGAACTTGCCTAAAGGTGAGATGATCTTTCGGGGTTCTTGATTCATGAAAGAGTCTACGAGACATTCTGCAGGACACAGCAGATAGTGACTGAACTGCCTTTGAAATTTCCTGCTTCATAAAAATGTCTGCTGGATATTATGGGCCTAAAGGCCAAAAATGAATGCCCCAACGATACAGAGAAACTTTGGGTGACTGTCCAGGCAGCGAGATGTCTCTGTCATTTCTAGAGTTTTGGAAGTTGCTTACTTCTTGTTTACTTAGGTAATATATCCTTCTGGAGTCTTTGATGGAGTTGAAGAATGGATAGTCATAGTTATAGTTCCATTATTATGATAAAGATATAGTTATAAATATTGTGACTGTAATTCTTGCTTGATAACTGTTTTGTTATGTGTAATTTTACTATGTTAAAATGAAAGCCTTTCTTTTTTGTTTAAACAGAAAAAGGGGAAATGATGGAGGAGGGTTATCTGTCTATTGTGTTATTTTCATTGGTCAATAAAGAGACTGCCTTGGCCCTTTGATAGGACAGAAAATTAGGTAGGCGGAGTAAACAGAATAGAATGCTGGGAAGACGGCAATGAGCCAGACGCCATGGAGCCAGCCACCAGGTCAGACATGCTAAATCTTTTCTGGTAAGCCACTACCTCGTGGTGCTACCACGAGATTATTAGAAATGGGTTAATATCAAGATATGAGAGTTAGTCAGTAACTAACTCTCTAGAGATAATGGGCCAGGCAGTGTTTAAATGAATATAACTTGTGTGTTATTATTTCTGGGACTAAGCTAGCCGTGCGGGAGCTGGGCAGGACGAAAAGCAGGCCTGTCCACAGCCCCTTCACTACAGCTAACTTTGCTCCTCTCATGGCATGCACAGTGCCTTCTAGCACTGTGGCAGTTTGAATGATAATGGTCCCCACAGGCTCATAGATTTCAATAATTGGTCCCAAGATAGCGGAATGTTTGAAAAAATTAGGAAATGTGACCTTGTTGGAGAATGCCAGTCATCTGGAGTGGGGTTTCACTCCAGATAATTCTCAGTGTGCCTTCTCTGCCTCCTACTGCAGATCAAGAAGGAAGCTCTCAACATCCATTCTGCCATCAGAATCCACTGTCACACAGACTAACAATGAAAATAAAAGCCCAATTAAACACTTGTAGGAATAGTTGACCACACAAAAAGGATTTCATCTTTTCTGTTTGTTTTGTGTATGTACATGTGCTTTTCTTTCTTTTTGTATGTGCCCCTGTGTGTGTGTGTGTGTGTGTGTGTGTGTGTGTTTAAGAGAGAAGATGAAGTAGAGGAGAGGGGGGTCTTGGAGGAGTTGGAAGAGGGGAAAGAATATGATGAAAGTATACTGTATGAAAATATTTAAAAATTAAAAAACACATGGTGATCATAATAAAAATACCACATTTATTATATGACTCTCACTCTACAATTCTTTGTGGAACAGTTATTGGTTCCAAGTGAAAGTATTCATATTTTCTACTTTGAGACATGTTATGCTGGTTTGTTGTGTACATGGTGCTCATAAGCCCTTGTCATCTGAAGTTAGCCAAACTTTACACTAAAATGGAAAAAAGTAGATCTTTGTAAGCAAACCTCAGAGAGGCTTCTGTAGTTGTATAATTAAAACAAACAAATGAGGTCCAATGTAGATACTGCCTGCATTTTAGGGTCTACAGAACCTACTGCATTATAGAGAATACATCCACTCGTGCCAGGTCTGTGGCTTTAAACTGGCAAGGGTGATTCATTTGTAATTTGGGTTAATCTGTCAAAATGTCCATGAATTGTCTGATTAAAAAACCCTAAACCTTTAGCTCTGGGACCCTGATGCACTAGATTAGGATTTCTTGAATCACCTATTTATAAATTATGTTGGTGACTCTAGAGTTTGAGGACTATAGTGTTAGGTCAGGATATTAAAGTATCTTTTGTCTTGATAGCAACTTCATATAAATTTAGCATTTATTTTTATCTGGATCATGTAGATTAATTTATCTGCTATTGGTAGAAACTGGTTCTAATAGGAAGGATAGTTTATCTTGAAAAAAAGCCACCAAGTAGATTATTTATGCTTATAGATCTTTCTGAAGGTGATATCTAACTGCCTTCTATGAAATATGAAATTATCACATAATGAGGGCAAGTTCATGGATATGGAAGGTGACATAAAAGGTTATATAATAAATAATTAATAAAGTTTTCTAGTCAAATGTTTTTATAAGACTTTATCCTGTGTTTCTGATAGGCAGAGCACTGAGGACACACAGGACACACACACTGTGATGGCTACATATCTTTAGGAATCGTCAGCCTGTGTGGGTGGTTTTCACTATGCACTTCCTATGGCTGTGTTTTCCAGCCTCTCCCACAAAGGGTGGTCTTTTATCAACTTACTAATCCTTTAGAGTACTATTTATCAGTCATTGGCTTTAAACGAGGACAATGATATATACTACACTTATGTGGAGTTTTATCTGCTTTTGCTTGATGTCTTCCATAAAAATGATATTGTTGTAAATTGTGTGTTCTCACTTATGTGGAAAGTGAAGTTTTATTTCCTTTCACCATTTTATTGGTGAGGACAGTGGTAATTTTTCAACATTAGATATTTAAGATATTGTGGAATAGAAGATGCTATAGGGTTTAAATATTTTATTTTAATTATTCTACCATTTTTATTATCATGATAGATAATATTGTGTTTTCTTTTCAGGTAAATATTTAAAATTTGAGAGTTATTCTTTGTAAATATATCTTTAAAATTTATGTGTAACTCTGAGTCTGTGTTTTGTATGTGTGCATATGGCATTTGCATGTGGATATCCTTGGTGGTCACCAAGTGAGTATCAGATTCCTGGAGCTGGAATTACGGCAGTTTGAGCTGCCATGCTGGTGATGGGAACCAAGCTCAGGTCTTCTGGAAGAGGAGCAAGTGGTTTGAATTGCTGCACCAATTCTTCAACCTCTCAGTGTCATTCTTAAATGTTTATCTCCATCTTTTAGATGTTTCATGGGACAATCACAAAAGAACTCACCAGCCATGAAGAGTGGAGTCACTACAATGAGAATATAATAGAAGATCAGAAGGACTTTGTGTTTGTAAAGTACAATGGCCTCCATCTGAAGTCCATGGAGAACCTGCAGTCCTGCATCTCTCTGAGAGTCTGCATATTCTCGAACAACTTTGTCACTGACATCCAGCCCCTGCAGAGCTGCGTAAAGCTCATTAAACTTGATCTCCATGGAAACCAGGTAAGCACTAACTACTTTCCTATGTCAGTAAACTTGCCCTGTTAATCTCTAACATTCTTTCTAGCCATTGAAAATATAATGAAAAACTTAAAATTATATACAAATAAGGCTCAAATACACAAAATATAACGTGTAATAAAAAATTTTAAATGATATGTAAAAATGTACGATATGTTTTGTTTTTTATATTTTTCAATTATATATGTATAGATTCTCTCTGTATCTATTTCAAATGTGTGTGGCTTCGCACAAAGGCCAGAAGAGGGCATCCAGGTCCCTGTACCTGGAGTTGCCGGGGTCCTGGGAACTGAATGCCAGCCATTGGAAGTGCAACTACTGAGCCATCTCCCTAGGGTGTTTCACTTCCTTTCAAATTATTTTGCTTTAAAGGTTTATTTTTTTTTATTTAGATGTATGTTTGTGTATGTATCTCTGTGTGAATGGAGGTGCCCATGGAAGTCAGAAGAGCGTGGTGGACTCCCTGGAGTTATGGGTATTTGGGCACTGTCAGTGTGAGTGGTTCTGGGTCTGCTGAAAGAGCAGCAGGAGCTCTAAGCACAGAGCCATCTCTTCAGCACTGTATCTTTACATCTTCAATGTACACTGTAGATGAGTCCACAATTCTGATGTGAGTAACTTTAATTGGAATTGCCCTAAGTACTTTTCACAGGAAGCTCCAGATTTTTACATACCTGTAAATGTGGCTATACATCTATTATGCTATTGATTCCATCTTATTTCAAATTCCTGGTGTGTCATGTCTTTGCAGTCATCATTTGGATAATTGGAAATGTTACTTTTATTAGGCAATCAACATTTGCAAAATATTGAATTTTAGATGATATTAAATGCTTCACCATTTTTCCTTGCAGATTTTATGAATCATACATATTTTAAATATTATTTCAGATAAAGACTCTTCCAGATCGAAATTTTTGGGGTGGACTCAAGAACCTAAAACTCCTCTATCTTCATGACAATGGTTTTGCCAAGCTGAAGAACATCTGTGTGTTAGCCGCCTGTGCAAGCCTTGTAGGACTGACCATGTTTGACTGCCCGGTGAGTCTTAAGAAAGGCTACAGACATGTTCTTGTCAATACTATCTGGCCTCTCAAAGCCCTGGACCATCACGTTATATCTGATGAAGAAATCATTCAGAACTGGCATCTTCCGGAGAGATTTAAAACATTCAACCACAGGCTATTCATTAACCTTTGCCCAGCATTGATAAAGGTAACTCACTCAATGAATGTTTCCTTTATGATCAGTCATGGGTACAAAATTTAGCTCTAAATGCTATACTTAAATATATAATCTGTTTAACAGTATTGTTTTATATCTTTTATAAATTATTCACTACTGAAAACTCAAATCCCTGAGGTTACACATTGTATAGACTTAAAAAGATAACCATTCTTCATAGCCCTTGAGTTTTAGAATAGATAAAAATTGGGAGGAAGGCTTAACTCTGCACCTCTGAAAAAATTAATTACACACAGGACAGAGTCTGCATGGATTTGCAGGGAAGTGTTTTCAGATGTGACAGACACAGCAGCAGACTGCGTTCTCAGGGATGACTAAGTGATTCCAGCACCATCAAACAGATGAAGACAGTTGTGACGGCACCACAGGTGATGTGACTTCATACGACGATCACTGCACATGCGCTCTGTCACTGACCAGAAGTGATTGTGCGTTACATGGCTACACTTCCAGATGGAATCTGAGGTGGAATAAGGAATGGATGCGAACAGTGATGGAGCCGGGAGGACATGTGTGCACCTACCCTGAGGAGGCTGAGTGCAAAGCTACAAGTCTGTGCTGGAACTGCCTATAGCCCTTAAATATTATGAGGAAGAACGAGGCTTCACAACATTAGCTGAATACATTTGGGGTTTGGTAATTATTTTGTAATAATTAAAAAAAAATAAAAGTGAGGTAGGTTTTGAGCCTCATGTCTTAACCTGCACTCTTGAGGCCAGGAATCAGTTAGGTTCTGCCCAGTGGTGGCAGTGTGTGTCATCTCTTCGAGGACAGTCAAAATAGCTGGCTGAGGTTCCTTTAAGGAAGTAACGGAAAGTCTGGGGAGGGAGACAGAAGAGATAACCAAGGATCAGAGTGGAGAGCCTCACCTTTTTTAGTACGTAAGCTACCGCAGTTAACCTGGCTGCAAACACAGCCATTCTCTCATACTGTGTGCTCTATACATAGATGGCCTTGCCAAAGTTCATTAAAAAAATTTATTAAAAAATATTTTTTAAATAAAAACATTTTTAAAAGTAGTTTTTAAAGGAAAGTATTTGCTGGAGGTGGAAGGGAGGGAAGGGAAAAGAAGGAACTAGCAAAATGAAAGTGTGGAAAGTTAGGCTCCTCAGCTTCAATGAATAAAAAGGCCTTGCCGAGAAGCATCTCCTTTTCATGGGAGGGCTGCTCCCTTGTACAGGAGATGGGCACTCTGAGCATAAAAGCCAAGCCATTGCCAGAGAGGGCAGCACAAAGCTGTGGATTCGAGTCTGTCTCCTTTCCAGGGTCCTCCAACCAGCGTCCTATCACAAGAACAGTGACAACATTTTATGGTCTATACTTAACACATAGAATGTAGGAGGAGAAGGAAGGAATCAAAGTTGAAAGTTTCTAATACTTTGAACCTTAGTGACTGGCATCAAGTAAAATGCCTACATGTAAACTTGCAGTAGAAATATGAAATTGACCTTGTTCCATTTTGCTTTTTTTTTTTGTATTTTGATGGGGGAAAGATCAAATATGCCTGAAAATGAAGAGCTAAAATTCAGAGGAAATGTTCTGGGCTTGTGCTGTGAACCAAGTTATCTGCTTGAAGTCATAGTTGAGGCCAAACATTCTCAGGACCATGGAGGGATCAATAAAGACTGAGCTAATGAGAAGCCCTTGAAGCATATTCTCACTTTGCGTGTAGGAAGCACTGGAACCAGTGAGGATAAAAGGCAATTGATCTTGGGAGGTGAGAAGAAAGCAAAGACACAGCAATTACCATTGTGGTGGTTAAAGAAAAATAGGTTTTAAAAAGAAAACTTAAAAAGTTTCTAATTGGCCCAAGAAGAACACTAAGGTAGTGTTTTGAAAGGCAGGAGGGTGCGAAAGAACCGCTCCAGACTGAGAATCTCACAGCCTGCAAGAGCCAGGAGTAAAAGGACAGTGGGAAGTATGACTGCCACTATAACCACTCTAGAATGTGGTTGCAGACATCTACACAGAGCAAAGGGAAAGTTTTTTTCAAAGTTTATTAAATTATAAAAGTTTCCATTTCCACCCCTCCTCCCAACACCCTCCTACTCCCCCAACTCCCCCTCCTCCTCCCTCTCCATCCCTAAGAGCAGTCAGGTCTTCCTGCCCTGTGGGAAGTTCAAGTTCCTCCCTGCTGCCTCCAGGTCCAGGAAGGTGAGTATCCAAACAGACTGGATCCCAAAAATCCAGTATATGCAGAGGAAACAAGTCCCAGTGTCATTGTCAATGGCTTTTCAGAAAGACTCCGGGCCAGCCACATTCAGAGAATCCGGCCACATTCAGAGAATCTGGTTGGATCACGTGCTCGTTCAGTCCCAGTCCAACTGGCCTTGGTGAACTCTCATTAGATCAGTCCCCTTGTATCAGTGGGTGATCGCACCACTCGCGGTCCTGATTTCCTTTTTCATGTTCTTCTTCCTTCTGCTCCTCATTTGGACCTTGAGGGCTCAGTCCGGTGCTCCAATGTGGGTCTCTGTCTGTATCGCCATCCATCGCTAGATGAAGGTTCCCTCTGGACTTGCCTTCTTTGCTCAAGTTCTCTTTCCTTCTGCTTCTCGTTTGGACCTAGGGAGTTAAGTCCAGTGTTCCAATGTGGGTCTCTGTCTCTATCTCCATCCATCGCCAGATGAAGATTCTATGGTGATAAGCAAAATATTCATCAGTATGGTTATAGGCCAAGGCCGGTTCAGGCACCCTCTTCTCTGTCCAGAGAACAATCTGGGGATCTCTCCTTGGACCTGGGATCCCATTTATAATCAAGTCTCTTGTAAACCCTAAAATGACTCCCTTAGTTGAGATATATTCTTCCCTGATTCCATATCCATCCTTCCTACCTCCCCCCCATCCTAGTCCCCCGAGCTTTCCCCATTCCTCCCCTACTCCCTTCTCTCTAACCCTCTACCCTTCCAACAACCCTCCCCCCCCATGCACCCGAGGTTACCTGGGACTCTTGTCTATTTCCAATCTCCAGGAGGATAACTACATGATTTTCTTCAAGTTCACCTTCTTATTTAGTTTCTCTAGGATCATGAACAATAGGCTCAAAGACCTTTAATTATGGCTAAAATCCACTTATGAGTGAATACATACCATATTCCTCTTTTTGTGTCTGGCTTACCTCACTCAGTTTAGCGTTTTCTATGTCCATCCATTTGCATGCGAAATTCAAGATGTCATTGTTTTTTACCACTGAGTAAAACTCTAATGTATATATGTTCCACACCTTTTTTAACCATTCTTCTATTGAGGGGCACCTAGGTTGTTTCCAGGTTCTGGCTATTACAAATAGTGCTGCTATGAACATAGTTGAACAAATGCTTTTGTGGTATGATAGGACATCTCTTGGGTATATTCCCAACAGTGGAATTGCTGGGTCTTGAGGGAGGTTGACTCCCAGTTTCCTGAGAAACCGCCACACTGATTTCCACAGTGGCTGCACAAGTTTGTATTCCCACCAACAATGGATGAGAGTTCCCCTCTCTCCACATCCTTTCCAGCATAGGCTATCATTGGTGTTTTTGACTTTAGCTAATCTGACCGGTGTAAAATGGTATCTCATAGTTGTTTTGATTTGCATTTCCCTGATCACTAAGGATGTTGAGCATGACCTTAAGTGTTTTTTGGCCATTCAAAGTTCTTCTGTTGAGAATTCTCTGTTCAGATCAGCACCCCATTTTTTAATTGGGTAAATTAGAGTTTTAGTGTCTAGTTTCTTGAGTTCTTTGTATATTTTGGAGATCAGGCCTTTATCTGATGAGGGGTTGGTGAAGATCTTCTCCCAGTCAGAAGGTAGCCTTTTTGTCTTACTGACGGTGTCCTTTGCTTTACAGAAGCTTCTCAGTTTCGGGAGGTCCCATTTATTCATTGATTCTCTTATTGTCTGTGCTACTGGGGTTCTACCTAGGAAGTGGTCTCCTGTGTCTATGTCTTGTAGGCTACTTCCCACTTTCTCTTCTATCTGGTTCAAAGTGGTCAGATTAATGTTGAGGTCTTTAATCCATTTGGACTTGATTTTTGTGCATGGTGATAGATATGGATCTACTTTCATTCTTCTACAGATTGACATCCAGTTATGCCAGCACCATTTGTTAAAGATGCTTTCCTTCTTCCATTGCATACCTTTAGCCCCCTTGTCGAAAATCAAGTGTTCATAGGTTTGTGGGTTAATATCTGGGTCTTCTATTTGATTCCATAGGATGGCTTCTCTGTTCTTATGCCAGTACCAAGCTGTTTTCAATACTGTAGCTGTGTAATAGAGTTTGAAGTCAGGGATGGTTATACCTCCAGACATTACTTTATTATATAAGATTGTTTTTGCTATCCTGGGTTTTTTGTTTTTCTATACAAAATTAATTATTATTCTCTCAAGGTCTGTGAAGAAGTTTGATGGAATTTTGATGGGGATTGCATTGAATCTATAGATTGCTCTTTGTAGAATTGCCATTTTTACTATGTTGATCCTCCCAATCCAAGAACAAGGGAGATCTTTCCATTTTCTGGTATCCTCCTCAATTTCTTTCTTCAAAGACTTAAAGTTCTTGTCAAATAGGTCTTTCACTTCCTTGGTCAGAGTTATCCCAAGATATTTTATGCTGTTTGTGGCTATCGTGAAAGGTGAAGTTTCTCTGATTTCCCTCCCTGCTTCTTTATCCTTTGTGTATAGGAGGGCAACTGATTTTTTGGAGTTGATCTTGTATCCTGCCACGTTACTAAAGGTGTTTATCAGCTGTAGGAGTTCTTTGGTAGAGTTTTTGGGGTCGCTCATGTATACTATCATATCGTCTGCAAATAATGAGAGTTTCACTTCTTCCTTTCCAATTCGAATCCCCTTGATCCCCTTATGTTGTCGTATTGCTATTGCTAGAACTTCTAGCACTATATTGAAGAGGTATGGGGAGAGTGAACAGCCTTGTCGTGTTCCTGATTTTAGTGGGAAGGCTTTGAGTTTCTCTCCATTCAGTTTGATGTTA